TTTTTAATAGTTTCGTTAAATTTTTATTTTTATTTATTTGATTAATAAATAAAAAAAAGGCATAAATTAATTTTATTTTATTTTTAATGAATTTTTTATTTTTTTTAGCAAAAGCATATATATAAATATAAAAAAATTAAATTTATGGAAAGTCAAAAATTACAAAATACAAAATAAATAAATAAAAAGTAAAAAAATAATTCAATTAATATTTTAATATAATTTAATTAGTTAGTATAAAAATTATTTTCTTCTTTATCATTATTTATATTAATTTTAAACTTAATCAAAGTCTACATGATACTAAGAATATCTAAAAGTTTTACTTAATTCCATTAGCTCTAATTTTATTTTTCTTAAATTATAACTACAAGCATTTAAAATAGTTTCATCACTCGATTCAGCATCATTATCACTATCATGCTGTATATTCATTTCATTATATTCTTTTGGAATCCCTAAACATCTTTCAGGAAAGCAATTAAATTTATATATTTTATCATTTTATTTAAATTCTAAAACTTAATGTATTTATTCAGGCTAATTATTATATTTAACTTTTTTTTCAATAATATCTTCCAAGTACTCATTTTTTCTTTTCTTTAAGTTGAAATTATTAATAGTGCTTTTTGTATTTATTGAAAGAATTTCTTTAAATGTGCTTTATATTTAATTTCTTGAATTTATTTTGTTTATTGTTTTATAAATGGAAGTATCGCAAGTTTCATTTGAAGAAGAATTTTTGTATAATTAAAGTGTATTTTTTTTTCTAACATTTTTATTATTTTTAATATTTTTTTATTTTTATTTTTATATTATTTTTTTTTTTAATATTATTATTATTATAACTTTTTTTTTTATTGTAATTTTTTTTTTTAAGGGATGTATATAATATATTTACATTGTATATAAATATTAATTAATTTTACCCACATTCTATAATCAAATTTATATTTTTTTTCTTCATTTTCTTTTTTTTACTTTCTTTCTTAATTAATAGAATTTAACAAAAATAAATAAAAAATAACTATATATAACAATTTAAAAAATTTTTAGATAAAAAATGCTTTTTTTTAAATATATTTAAAAGAAAATTTATATTTTTAAAAATTAATATAGCAAATTAAAAAATAAAATAGTTTATGTAAAAAAACAGAAAATAAATTATATTTGGTACATCAATAATTTTTAGAAAATTAAAATTATAATTTTAATAAATAAAAACATTAATAAATTTATTAGAAAAAATATATATAATATAATTATTATATTTATTTAATAAAAATATACTTGTATTAAATGAATTAATAAAACTAAAAATCTGAATTAATTTATATATATATAAAAATATATACATATTTTTAATTAAAAAATTTTATTATTTAAAAAAAATAAATAAATATTATAATTAAATTTTATTTAACATTTAAAAAAGTTAAAAGATTTTATATTAATTTTTTAATAATAAAATTTATATAATATTTTTATTTATTATTATTATAATTAGTTTTCTACATTATGAGTATTATATTTTTACATATTAATATAAAAAATATATTATATAGATTATTTTTTAATTAATTTGTTTTTAATTTTAAAATGAAATTATTATATTATAAAATTTTAAAAAAATATTTTAATTTTATATCATAACTATTTATATTATTAATTAAAAAAAAAAAGATAAAAAAAAAAAAAAAAATTAATTTATCTCAAATAGATTTCTTTTAATTTTTACTAAATAATATCTAGAATTTATAGTTTTAGTCTTATTTTTTCATTTTTTTATATTAATTTATCAATACAAAAAAACTGTTTGTTAAAGATCATAAAATTATCTAAATAAAAAATTAGTTTTTAACATAAAACATAAAAATAATTTGTAATTTAAAAAGTTAACATCATTAATCTAAATTATAAACATCTTTTTCGATTTTATAAAATAAAATTTCATTTTTTTTATTTCACTATTAATATAATAAACATTATTGATTAAAATCGAGTATTTTTGAGAAATTTACATTAGTTATTTTTATATAATATTAGGCAACTTTATTTCTAATTAAAAATAATCAAGTTCCCATAGTTCTCTATATTATATCCATTTATTATTCTTATAAAAATTTAATAAAACTTAAATAAATATTTTAATAAGCTTTATCTAAAGCAATTATTATTTAAAAAACGATCTACTACTAACTTTAAAATCAGAATCATCATATCCTAATCTATTTATTAATGTTCTTAAATCTCTTAATAAAATTTATTCTTAAATCTATAAGAATATTTTTATACATATGAAAGTAATAATAAAGTTATCTTTTATTCAAATATAAATAATTATATTTAAATTCTTTAAATAAAACGTTTATAGATAAAGAACATAAATAAATAAATAAATAAAAATATATATATATATATATATATATATATATATATATATATACATATATATATTATATTAATTTCTTTTTATAAATAAATAATTCTTTATATCATATAATACAATAAGAAACATTTTATTTATATATAAATATATATATTTTTTTATTTTAAATTACAATAATAGTTTATCAAAGATTTTCTATATTTTTATTTTTAATTTTTACAAATTCTATTTGTTTTACTTTTTTATATATATCTTTCTATTTATATTTATTAAATTAGAAATTAGATTAAGGAAAGAATAGGTTTTATTTAATACATTAACTGCATATGGTTTATAATTTATATATTAAATTAATTCAATATAACCTTCTAGAATTAAATATTTAGTATTTTATTTCATAAAGATGTAAATTTTTAATATGATAAAAACTTTTACTACTGTTATTTATATTTAATTATTATTAAATGCTTATACGTAGAATACATATTCATTTTTTATTTAATTCTAAATTTTATTAAAAATACTAATTGGCATTTTTTTTTTAATTTTTTTTCTCATCTTCAATTTTTTTTATCCTAAATAATTTTTTATTAGGTTTTATAAATAAAAAATTATTTTTTATGATAAATATTCTATATATAACATTAAATGATCTTCTTAAAATTTCTTATATTTGTCCGCATTAGAAATTAAAGTAAAAAACTTATTTTTAAAATATAAATCATATTTATTTTTAAAAAAATGGTGTATATACATTCATTTAATGCATAACGTATATTCCTATAACTTAAAATAATTAAATCTTAGAAAAATAATTTCAATATCCTTTTAACATTAACTTGTAAAAATATACAAATTAAATAATAAAAGCTGATTAAAAATTTATATATTTATAAAATAAGGTTAAACAAAAATATATATATATATATATATACTTTTATAAAAATGTAGTTATATAATTTTTATATTAAAAAATTATGTGATAGCTTAATCAACCATATATTTTAATAATTATATTAACTTATAGTATATAATGCAATTTCCTTTTATACTATATATGTATAAGATTTTTTTATTTATATAAAAAAAAATCATATTGCATAAAATAATCAATATGTGCGATTAAAAGAATAAATAAAATAAGTTGAATCAATTTATTAAATTTACTAATTTCTTACTTATGGTAATGTTTTAATTATATATTAAATCCCAGTTATAAGAATTTATGTTTGATAAAAACAAATTATTATAAACTAATGAAATATAAACATAAATGTCTAATATTAAATACTTTTTTAAAATTAAAAATTTAATATAAAATTTCCCCTTTTTATATAAAAGACTGCAATTTAGCCTCTTTAAAATGTTCTAAACAATCGTGACTATCAAAATAAAATTTATTAAATTAATATTGTTATTTTTCTAGGCATAAAATAGGTAAACGTAGATATGTATGCAAAAAAAAAAAAAAGATATTAAATTTAAAATAAATAAAAAAAATAATGTTTAATATTTTTATTAAAATTTGATTTTTTTAAATAATTTAAGTAAAAAATTTTTTATTTTTTGTTAAATAATTTGTAGTCTTATTAAATGTTTACTAAATATAATTATATCCATACTTATTTAAATATATTTCTTTAAATTTTAGTATTTAAGAATTAAATTAATTTTTTAAGATAATTATGAATTTATTAAATAAAAATTAATTATTAATATATTAATGTAATTTTATCTATTATTTATAAGAAATTTATTTTTCAAAATAATTTATATTTGAATATTTTGATTTTTATATTATATTTTAATGATTTAATTTTCAAACTTTTTAAATATTTATATTGTTTGTTAAGAAAAGTGATTCAATATATTTAATTTTTAATATTTTAGGTTATGAGAGATATATTTATTATATTTTAATTATATTAAAGATTTTTAATAAATTAAATAAAGATTTTTATATTTTATACATAATAATAATTATTAAAAATTATAATGATATTAAAATTATGTTTATAATTTTGATTTTAAAGAATTAATTATACTAATTTTTAATTTTATTTATATATAAAATATGTATTTAATAGCATAACTCAAACTCTATTATTTATATTTTTCGTTATAAATTAATTTTAACAAATTAAAATAAAAAAAAATATATCCATATTATATAAAATAAATTATTTATTTTTTATAACAAATAAAAAATTAATTAAAAATAAAATTTAGAACAAAATATAAAAAAAATATTTAAATTTATAAATTATTTTATTTAAGAATTGTTTAAAAATAAAATAAAAATATATAAATAATTTTTTAATAATAAATAAAATAATATAATATATATATAATAAATAATTAATATAAAATTTTCAGAAAATATATTATTAAATAAATATATATATATATATATTTATAAATATATTATATAATTTTTTATATATAACAAATATAATATTTATATTTATTTATATTTATTTTATTTATATAAATTTATATATATTTTATAATTTAAATATATTTAATTTATTTTTTCATATTATTTTTTCAAATTATTTTTAAAAATTTAATAAAATTAATTATGATAACTAACATATATTTTAATGATTTCAATCAAACTAATCTATTTATTTCATCTTCATCATCTGTTTTTCTTTTTTTAATATTCATATCTACATCTTAAAATTATTTTTTTCCATTTTCATCTTCAATTTACTCAATTCCTATATATTCTTAATTTTATTTCTTTAACATTCTCACAATTAAATCCTATAAATAGTCCACAAATTTTACAACCTTAAGTTTAACCAAAACATAAAGTACGAAATTTTAATATTTAACAATAATTAAAATCAAACCTATAAGCACTCCTAAAATTCCTATATTATATAAAACTCCATTCTTCCTAAATGCCTTTACCCAAAAGCACGATATTTTTTATTATTCATGACTTACTCCACCTTCGCATTAATTTCCTGTAATTTTCCTATATCCATTTGGTATATAATAATAATCTTAGCATTCCTCATCTACTTCAATATACCCTTTAATTTATACGCACTAATATTGATTTTCACTAATAACTCTTTCATATCCCAAATCACATTCCCAATCATATTCTGTACATTCGCATTTTCTAACTGAAATTGGTCTTTCGAAATTTTCTGGATTATAGCAACTTGCATATCTTTTTCTTCTTACAAACTTCATTTCTTTTCCCAATAAGCACCCTTCTCCGGGATTATGAGGTATCCAATATTCATAATCGGATTCTTAGTCATTTTCGGAAGGAGAATCGAAACCTTAACATACTCTAGGGTGTAATTGGGTTAAATCTACTAAAATTACCACCCCTTTGTTTTCCTCTAATTATTCGTCTTCTAATTCTCCGTATATGATGAATTTATCTGAAGTATTTCCGGGTTCAGTTATTATATTTTGTATGTTTATTTATTTAGAACTAATTTTTAATTAAGTCCATGTAAGGCCTTCATCCCAGGAATAATAGACTGAATCTGAAGGATATTAATTGGGTGCTATTAATATTAAAGCTCCATGATCGGCTACTTCATATATATGAGATCCTTTTTTGATTTCAATCCAAGAAAGTCCTCCATCTCTAGATAAATAAGTGTTTGTTTTATTGGCTTTATGTTGTAAATATGTACCTATATTTCCAGTTCCGATTATTAAACCAATACTATTTTCGCTAGAATAAACAGGACCAAATTCCATTTTTGAAGAAATCGAATGTAAATGTAAAGAGCATCCCTTATTTATATCACATTCAGTGTTTTGTCCTTAAGAATCTTTCTAAGGAGGTTTATTCTGCTCCAGTTTCCTCCTTTATTAAATGTAATTCTTGTCTATATATATTTTTATAAATCCTAAGTATTAATATCTGAAATTTTTTATTATTAAGATTTCTTATTAATTGAACTTTCTAAAGGAATATCAAAATTTGAGGAATCAGGATTTTTTTATAAAAGACTTTTTTTCAATTCTTCAATTTTTTTTCCTTAGTAAATATTGGCTATATATATACCATCAACACTAAATAATTTCTCAAAATCGCATTAACCATCAGTACTTCGTACATTATCCTATAAAGAAAGAGAAAATCTTCTTCCTGTAGAATCAGATTAATAAATAATACCTAAAGGAGAATTATATCCATATGGATTTAAATTTAAAAATACTTGTCCCTAAAAATAAAAAAAAAAAAAATTAATATAAAAATATATAGATATATAAAAATATTATATATATATATATATATATATATATATATATTTATATATATTGAAATTTTTATATATATATATTGAAATATTTATATATATTTAAAATTTATAATATTAATTACTTCACTTGTATCCAATACTGTAAATGAATGTTGGAAAATATTCTAGTCTATTTCTACGTAGTTAAATTTATAGTTTTATTCATTTTATAAATTTTATTGAGCTACCATTAGTTTGACTTCTTGAGTCTAACTATTATGTACTTGCGCTGCGAATATATAATTTTCTGTAATTAAAAACTATTTTTTTATTTTTTATTTTTTATTAATCTATTATTTACTTTATTTCCTTAATTAACAATCATATTTTATTCTTTAACTAAAAAATCGTCTGAATAAAATAAATGTGTTTTCATATTCCATCCTTATATTTTTTAATGTCCTTAATCTTTTTAATTTTTTTTTTATTAATTTAATTATCTCAATTATTTAAATATTTTTTATTATTAAATAAATCAAATGATTTACTTCCTATTTCTTTTGAATAAATAATTCTTTATATAGGAATTTTCGACTAAATATTTTAAAATCTTTATGCCCTTTTTTTAATATATTTAAATAAATAATTATTTAATTTAAAGAAATATTTTTTTTATAAAAATTATATATATAATATTAATTTAATATTATACCATTAAAATTAAACAATATATTTAGTAAGTAATTTCCATTTTTGACCAAAATTTTAAGATAAATATAAATCTTTAGTTACAAAACATTAATTTTTTTAATTATTTTTCGATTAATTTTCATTTTTATTATCACATACAGACCAAGAAGAAGCTAACATCCAAGTTCTTTCAGTTGGATGAAAAGCAAATTCTTTCAAATTCATATTCGCTCCAAGTGGTTTTATAGTCTATCCACAATCTGTAGTTATCCAATTTATGCCTTAAGTTCCTATAAATACAATTTCATTTGAATTGATTGGGCTAGACATAATTTTATGAACATATCCAATCTATATATATATATATTATTTATTATTTATTATTTATTATTTATTATTTATTATTTATTATTAATTATTTATAATTTAGTTTTATTTTTACATCTTCATTTAAATTCTATTAAGCATTTATTCCTTCTTTTATAAATTATTCTACTTTTTTTTGCCAACTAATTCCTCTATTATCGGATGTATAAACGCTTCCTTTTGTTGTTAATAATACAACACCTTAATCATTTGAAGAATCGTCACCACACCAGTGGATTTCTTGAAGAGGCGAATCTAAACTTGAGATATTTATTTATATGTCATTATGTGCTTGTTGACTAATATAAAATGTTTATATTAATAAATATATTAAATATTTTTTCATTTTTATTTTTCTTATATTAATTATATTTTTTTTTTAAAAAAAAAAGATTTATTTTTTAATTATAAATTAAATTTATATATATTTGAGATTTTTTTTTTAAATATTTAAAAATAATAAATAAATAGTATATGTAATATAAAAAACACGTTTTAAAAAAAATTTACTTTTTATAAAAAAACTAATTTAAAAAATTAATCACTAAATTTATTACTAATGTTTCAAAAAAACTGAATAAAAAGCATTTTGAAAAAATTCTTATAATAATTATTCAATTAAATATTATTAAAAATATATATAGACATATGTATTTATAATAAAATCATTTAAATTAATTTTATGTAAATAATATAAATGCTAATTTACTCTTTAAATGATATTTGAAACTTTATTAATTTTAAATATAAAAAATAAAAATATAAATAGAAAATTAAATTAAATTACTAAAATATATGATAAGATAATATATAAATTCTTATTTAACAATACAAATTTATTATAAAAAATTAAAATTAATTTTTTGTAAAAATTAAAATTAATTTTTTGTAAAAAATAAAAATAAAAAATTAAAAAAAAAAATATGTAAATTTAAAATGCAAAAAAGTGTACTAAATTTACTCAAAATTAAACATTTGGAGAAGGTTAATAATTTTATTTTTCTTTTGAAAAAAAATAAAAATAAAAATAAATAATTTAAATTAATATAAATATTATATACATATATAAAAAAAGATTATATATATGATAATGTGATAAAATCAAAATAAAAATATAATTGTTTATTAAAAAAAAAAAACAAAAACCAATTGTTAAAAGATATAAAAATAACCACAGGCCTTCCTGATTATAATTTATGCGATAACAAAATAAAAACTAACAAATATACATTTTACAATTTTCTGCCTTTGAATATATATTAATAGTTTACCAAATTAACAAACATATATTTTTTAGTAAAAAAAAAAAAAAAAAAAAATTAAAAAAAAAAAATAGTTCATAGGATTATTATAAACTGTTCCTTAAATTTCCACTTCGTATTCTATTCCTTTAATTTTTGTTCCTTTAATAATAATTATTTCAATTTCTGCAATAAAAGATTTCTACGAAGACTATAAAAGAATGAAAAGTGACAAAATAGAAAATAATCTTCTAGTGGAAGTTTTAATGAAAGACTATTCATGCTTTTAAAATATTTATTGTTAAGATTTATATCCTGGACATATAATAAAAGTAAATAAAAACTAGTAATTTCCTGCAGATATTCTTTTACTTTACAGTTCTGAAATTGGAGGTTTATATAAAAAATATTTAACATAAAAAAATATATATATATATATATTTATATATTATTATAATTATATATTTATATGTTTATAAATTTATATATTTTTTAGGTTAATGTTATATAGAAACAAAAAATATTGATGGAGAAACTGCTTTAGATATAAAACAAACTAATTAAAAAATATAATCATAAATAAAAAATGAATATGATTTTGAAAACTAAAAATTTATAGTTAATTATGAAAAACCTAATTCTATAATTTATAGATTCAGAGGATATATTATTACAAAATTAGATGAATAAATACATTTATAATACTAAAATATTGTTTTAAGAGGATGTATTTTGAAAAATACTGATTTTATAGTAGGAATGGTTTTATATACAGGGTAAATATATTTATATATTTATATTTTTATATATTTAAATAATTTAATAAATATATATATATATATATATTTATTAAGACATAATTGTAAAATAATGTTTGATAATTTGCAGAATGTTTAAAAAAAATCTTTATTAGAATAAACAATGGAATCCTACATATTAAAAATAATAATAGTTTTATTTTTAATATGTATTTTCTGTTCTACTTTTTAATTATTATATTTTTATTTAAACATTAAATGTTACTAATATTTAGGAATATAACCTAATTAAGAATACTTTATACTTTTCTAATTTTTATATGATTTTGGTAATTGGATTCTTATATTTACGTGAAAATTAAAAAATACATATTTTTAAAATATTTTAAATTTATATAATTTTATATATTTTTTTATAAAAATAAAATAAATTTAAAAATAGTAATATAGTTCCTATAAGTCTTATTGTGACTTTAGAAACAGTTAAATTTATATAGGGAATAATTATAAGTAAAGATCCATATATGGACAAGACTAAGGTACATATTTCGAATTTAAATGAATAGTTAGGATAGATAAACTATATATTTTCTGACAAAACAGGTACATTAACTTAAAATGTGATGATATTGAAATAAATTGCTATAGAAGATCATGTATATGGAAATATAGAAAATCCTTAATAAATAAAACTTTCTAAAAAAAATATTAATAAATATTACCCATAAATATCCTAAGTAGATTTTAGAGATAATGTATTTTTAGATATTATAAAAAATGAAAATAACGATAATTAGGAATATAAAAAAATTATGTAAAGAATTAATTAATATACCTTTTTATATATATATATAAAAAAGCAATTTACTTTTTATGTTGGCTGCATGTCATACAGTTAATTCTGTTTTAGATAAAAATAAAAATTCTCATTATGTAGCTTCTTCGCCAGATGAATATGCGATAGTTAATTTTACGAAATTTGTTGGAGTAGAATTTCTTATGTTAGACAGTGAAAATAATATTATTATAAAATATCAATAAAAAAAATATAAATGGAAATTATTATAAGTATTTGAGTTTAATTCTTAAAGAAAAATGTAATCTGTAATAATTAAAAATCATGAAAATAAAGTAAAAACTAAATATTTTTTTTATAAACTTAAAAAATAAAAAAATTCTTAGTATTATTTATATTCTAAAGGAGCTGATTATATAATAAAAAATAAAAGAAGTTCCTAATCAGATGAATTAATGATTCGAAATCTAAATGAGCATTTAATTTAATTCGGAAATAAAGGTTTGAGGACATTAATGTTAGCCGAAAGGGAACTTACTGAAGAATATTTCGAAAAATGGAATTCTAAATATTAAAATATAGTAGATTCTTTAGATTTAGAAAAAGAGTTTAAAATAGAAAAATTATAAGATGAAATGGAATAAGACTTAAATATATTAGGAGCAACAGCAATAGAAGATAAATTATAGGATTAAGTACCTGAAACAATTGATTGTATATTAAAAAGTGGAATAAAAGTATGGATTTTGACAGGAGATAAAATAGAAACGGCAATAAATATTGCTTAATCAAGTAAATTAATATCTAAAGAATAACAGAAAATAATTGTAGATTTAGAAGAAGAAAATGAGTTGTTTATTTACCTTAAGGATATTCTAAAAAGTATAAATGATTCATAAAAAAATTTCCTTTAAATTAAACATTAATAAAATAATTAATAATTTATAAATTAAGATAATTTTAATAATTATACTCTTATTATTTCTGGAACATCACTTAATCATTTTTAAATACCTCATATAAAAAATATAGTAAAAAAAAAAGAAATTAAATAAATATAATAAAAATAGATTATGGATATAGAAAAATATTGTAAAACAGTATTATGTTGCAGAGTAACTCCTAAATAAAAACAAGAAATAGTATTAACAGTTAAAACACATGTAATATAAAAAAATAATAAATATATTTAAATATATATATATATATATATATATATATATTTATATATATATTTTTATATATATTATATATTTTATATTCTATATAAACATTTAGATTAAAAATTCTGTTACTTTAGCAGTAGGAGATGGATCTAATGATGTAAATATGATAAAAATAGCACATGTAGGGGTAGGTATATAAGGCTAAGAAGGATAATAAGCTGCTAGAGCTAGCGATTATTCAATAAAAGAGTTTAAATATCTAAGAAGTCTTCTTTTTTATCATGGGAGAGAATGTTACAGGAGAAATTCTAAATTAGTTTGCTATAATTTCTATAAAAATATTCTTATTATTTTTCCTTAGTTTTGGTATATATTAATATTTTTCAATATACCATATTATTATATTATTTATATTTAGGTATGGCATATTTAATTTATTTAGTGGATAATCATTATATAATCCATTTATTTATTAATTATATAATATTTTTTTTTCTTCAATTCCTATTATGGTTTATGCCGTTATAGATTAAGAATACTCAAAAAAAATATTAGAAGAAAACGTTTAATAGAATTTTTATTTATAAGGAATGAAATATATATATATATATATATATATATATATATATATATATATATATATATATATATATATATATATATATAATTATATTTTTTCTAAAAAAAGATTTTCTTTTTAATTCAAAGGTTTTTTGGATCTGGTTTTCTTCTGCAATTTTTTAATCCTTTATTGTCCTTTATGTCAGTTTGATTTTTTTAGAATAGAATTTTACGACTTAAGATGGGTTCTTTTAGTCTTTTTGGAGTAGTGGAACTATGGTATTTGGTTTAATTGTAGTTTTATCAAATTTCAAAGTTTTAATTATAGCCAATAATATTTCTTTGGGATTTATTTTAGTTATTATAGGATCAATATTTTCTTATTTTATTACCTGGAATGTTGTTAATGATGTAGATGATTCTAATATTAAAGGAGTTTTAGAAGAGTTTATTTTTATTTATAAATATATATAATTTTTTTATATTTATAGTATGATGATTACACCTAATTTTCATTTCGGGAATATTTTAATTATTATATGTATATCTATATTTGATTGGGGATTAAAACTTTTTAAAAGCAAAAAATTTAATATAAAACCTTATATTTATATAATTAATAATAAAAAAAAAAGAATGGCAAAATGAATATTAGTAAATTTAATAAATTATAAATATAAATAATGATAATTCTATAAACTAAAATTTAATAAATCCTTTTAAAAACTAAAGAATGACAGCCAAAGTAAATATTAAAATAAATGAAAACAATATATAGGGTTTTGTTATTAATAAAATTAGTAAAAAAAAAATGTATAAACACATTAATACTGGATTTGCTTTTAGTTAAAAAAAAATATAAAAAAAGGATTTTTGAAAAAAAAAAAATATATATATATATATATATATTATGTATATATTATTTAATAAAAATCTTTAAAATAGACTACAATAATAATAAAAAAAAATATGTTAAAAAAATATATATATATAAAGAATAAAATTATTATATTAATAAATACTTTATATATATATAATAAAAACTTAAAAATTAAATATTTATATCTAAAAAATTCAAACAATTTAATATCTACCTTAATTAATTCCCTTTTCATGCATTTTTATAGAAACTTCTTCCAAAACTGCTTTAATTTCCTTATAAGCGCTTTTTACATGAAATTCTGACTCCCCTTCTATCCTCAAATACAATTTTTAAAATCCCGCCATTGGTTTTTTCCGGTTTCAACCAACACACCTCTCTAAACTACATTACAATTAGTTAACATATAAATTCTTTCCAAAAAATCTTTCTTAAGAACTTATTTCCTAGCGTATTCTGGATAGTCATTAATTTCTAATTCTGCTACAATCTAGCCTATGGTTTCTTCGTTTTATTTCTCGAAATCTTATAACATTTTAACTATTTCCATTTTTCCCAAGTCTATGCTTTTAGTAGCTGGTCTATATTTTTCCAAAGCCTTTCTTATAGCTTCTTCAGCTGCTTCCTGTATTTTTTAGGAACTTTAGCCTGCTTATAAAGCTTTGTCAGCAGCTTTTTTAGACTCGGAAAGTATTTATTCATATAAATCTCTGTATTCTTCCTTGTCTTTTATTTACGCCAGTTTTTGTTGTAGGCTCATCATATTTTTTCTTTCGAGTTTTTCTTTTTCTTCCTCTGTTTTTGGCTGGATTTTTTTTATTATTTTATCATCAGAAAAATCTTCGATTTCTTCATTTATTCCAAGTTAGAAATTTATAAATTTTTATTATTCGAATTTAGCCTTTTCAGCATTTGCTTTTTCCTATTCATTAAATGAGTAACCATGTCCTTACATATTTTGATTAGAGTATACTCTAGCTTCACCACTTTTTAATTTTTTCTTATAGTTATTTGCCATTTCTTATAATTAATCAGGAACTTATTAATCACTTCTTTTCAAAGCTTTAACTAAATCTAAACTATATTATTCCTATATTTTTAAATATAAATTTATATTGTATATAAATTAATTGTTCATATTTTACTGTAATTTTATAAAAAAACTAAACTCAATAAAAAAAGGCTAAGTAATATATATAGCCTTTTTATTGATTAAGTTTGTAAAAAAATAAAAGACTTATATAAAAAAATATATAAATATAAATATATATATATATATATATATATATATATATATATATACATCATCTTATCCTATAAATGTTACTGCAGTTCCTTTATTACCAGCACGTCCTGTTCTTCCGATTCTATGTATATAATCTTCTATATGATTCGGACATTTATAATTTATAACTAATACTACATTTTTAACATCTATACCTCTATTTTATTTTTTGAATAGAAAAAAATATATATTCTAAATTAAATAAAATTTTAAAAATTTTACCTACTACTAACCGAAGTAGCAATAAGTATTTTGTATAAACCTTTTTTAAAATCAATTAAATTACTTGCTCTATCATCAGGATCCATTCCTAAAGTAAATGTTTTTATATTTATATATATTATATATATAAAATACCAGCATGTAAAACTGTTGGATAATAGCTATACTTTAATAAATTAGTATAAAGTTAATCTGCTTCAATTTACTTATCAACAAATATTATAACCTATCCTTTATCTAAAAATACTCCTAATAATTCTAAAAGTCTATACAATCTAGTTTATTCTTCCCTAATCTCAATGATTTACGTAATATTAGTACATGCTTATCCCCTTGCCCCAACACTTATCTCCACGGGCCTATGTTGCATTAATTTTTTGGCTAAATTTTCCACATTTTTGGGGAAAGTAGCAGAGAAAAGTGCTGTTTATTTATCTGGTCTTGTAGTTCCTAAAATCTTGGTTGATTATGGTTCGAATCCTAAATCAAACATTCTATCTGCTTCATCAATAATTACCATAGTATCTCTTTTTAAATTAGTAATTTTTCCATTTGATGTGGTTAAAACATCTATTAATCTACCCGGAGTTAGCCACGACTATTTCACATCCTCTTTTTAATTCTGAAAGTTATCCTTTTATACCTGTTCCTCCATATATAGCTACTATATTAAATCCATGTGCTTTAGTAAAAGGCTTAGCTTCTAAATAAATTTGCATAGCTAATTCTCTTGTTGGTACTAATATGAGTCCTATAGGACCATCTCCTTCCTCTATAGGTCTCTAATCGGCTATATGACGCATCATAGGTAATAAATAAGCTAATGTTTTACCAGAACCAGTCTCTGCTATACCTATAGTATCCCTCCCGCTCATTATAACAGGCAAAGCTTAACATTAAATGGGAAAAGGCTTCTCGTATTTCTTCCTTTCGATTAAAGTATGCAATACTCTATCTGATAATCCACATTAAGTCCACATTTTAATAGGTTTTGGAACTTCAACCCCTTTCACTTGTATATCTCCGAGATTTTCGCGATATTATTTGACCTCTTATTCCGTTATTTAGCGAATTTCTTTGGATTCTATATAAAAATCTTTCCTAAAAGGCACTAAATCTTCAGATTTATATTCTACTTATTTAAGGTTTTTTTTCTAAGCCTCTCTTTTGATTCTTTCGAGATAATCTTCTTTTTATTCTCCTTAGTTTTCGTAATTTTCTATTTCTTAATTTTCTTCTTAGGCAACTTCTTCGTCAGACATCAAAGCACCTCTATTATCTATTAATTCGTCCTCTTTTTTTTTCTTTATGGCTTCTAAAAATTATCTTAAATGTTCGTCATGTTCTTCGTCTTTTATTTCATCTTATTATTCATTTGTAATATTTTCTTCATTTTATATATTTTCTTTTTTTTATGTGTTTTCTTATTTATTTTTTTATGTGTTTTTATTTTCTTCTTCTACTATTATTCTCTCTTCTTAAGATATATAATAGTCTTCTTTTTAAATATTTTAAGTACTGTTTTTTTCACCGTTTTCATATTATTCATCATAAGATTGATTTTAACTGTCTTGATTGTATATATTGATGAACGCTTTACCTTTAAAATATTGATTTTAAAAAAAAGTTATATGTAATACCAAATAATTCTTCTGAAGTTATATAATTTTGCTACTTATATTCATTGTTTTCTTAATTTTCAAATTAAGAAGAATCAATTCCAAGCTATTCTATATTTTTTTAAATATATATATATATATATATATATATATATATATATATATATAAATATATATATATATATTTATTATTTTTTATAAATATTAATAAATATCAATCATTTTATTTAATATATATAATTTACTATCTATTTCTTTATAAAATGCATCAAGTTCGTCTTCTTCTGAGTCTATTTAAGCCTGCTATTAATTGATTGTTTTGTGGTTATAATTAATAGATTAATTAATACTTTAATTTTATGTATTTGAGGGCATGTTGTGATTTTCTTCTTCTTCATTTTCTAGTCCATCTGAATCCAAAATATTATAAGGAGCAATCTATTGTTGGGGTGAAAGTTATTCATTATTTTAAAACTCTTCAATCTAATTTTAATTATTTAAAGAAATTAATATTTATACACAATTCTATAACGACTGCTGTTGTTATTAATGTTTTTATTAGATTTATTATTGTTGAAAACACTGTTATTTTTATTGCTATAAATATGAATAATATTATTCCTATTGTTATTTTATTTCAGTTTATTATATATTTACCTAATCTTCTTCTTCTATTTATATTTTATCTTCAGATTTTTTTTATTATATTTAAATAATAACATTTTCTTTTTTTTCTTCAATTTTAATTTAATTATTATTCTCAATATTTTATATTTCTAATAATTATTATTATTATTATTATTATACTTATTTATTTTGATTTTAAATATTAATATTTATATTATTATTATTCTCATTTATAATTTAAGGTATATTTATATTTATATTATTAATATTATTATTATTGTTATTCATATTAATAATTATATTATTATTATTATTTATATTAGTATTTTTTAATATATTATTTTATATTTATTTATTTAATATTGGTTTTTGTATCTCATTTTCTGAACTACTAGATTTTTCATATTTTAATAATTTCATTTTTGCTAATCTCTCTTATTTTTTTTTCAACTCGGCTTTTTTTTATTCCTCAGCACTTAGTTTTGGAGGCGAAGGTTATCTTCTATTTATTTTTTTATCTTCGCTTTTCTCAAGGTGCCTTTCTCGAGTATATTCAGGTGGTGATCTTTCACGGCTATATTTTCTTTCTTTTTTCTCTTTTTTTTCTTTTTTTCTATTTTTTTCGTGCTTTCTTTTACCTGATCGGCTTCTACTTCTTGCCATTTTTTTTTTTATTTTTTATATAGACGCTTTTTTTTTATTTATTTCTAAATGAATTTAAATTAAAAAAAAATATTTATAATAAATCTATAGTTAAAATAAATTTTTATTTTATTTATTTATTAGTATTCAATTATTTTATATGTAGAATAGGTATTTTTTTATTTTATTAAAATAAAAAAAATTAATTCTTTTTAAAATTTTTATTTTTTTAAATTAAATATTTTTGTTAAAAAATATAAAATAATTAAAGCCATAAAAATAAATTAAATTAAGAAAAATTCATAATTTAAAACATTTAAAAATACATATTAAGTTAAATATATTAAAAAATAGAAATAACAACTGACTATTTTTGTTCATGAATACTAATAATTAAAGTAAATTTCTTTTTAAATTAAAAATGCTAATAAAGTTCAATATTTAACTTAAATATTTTTTATAATCTATTATATGAAATAATATTAATTTTAAATAAAAAATAATATGCAAATTTATATTGCCTATAAAAATTACATGTAATTATTTTTATATATAATCAATATATTTATTTTATTTTTATTTATTTAAATTAAAATATAAAAATTTAGATGGTTTTATAAATTAAATTTTTAATTATAATAAAATTTTAATAATTAAAAAACTATAATTAATATATAAAAAGTCATTATTAAATTTATAATTTATAAATAATAATTTTATATAAATTATTTTTATCATAAATCCTAATAAATTAATATAATAATAATATTAGAAAAAAAAAGCTAAAATAATGAATATTTTAATAAATTAATTAATTAAATAAAATAAAAATATAGATATTTATAGTATATATGATACTATAAAAAGTAAATACATCAAATATAAAAAATATTATAAAAGTTTAAATTTAATATTATTAAAAATACTAATTAAAAAATAATAATATAAAATAAAATAAATTAATAATAATATTTTTCATTTTATTGCTTACAATTTTATTTTTTAAAAAATGTAAATAAATATTTTTTTATTCTTACTAAAAATTTAGCTTAAATATTTATTTATTTTTAATATATCAAATACTATCGTCATAATTACAGGCTTTTATTTAAATAATATAAAAAATTAAGTATTTTATTAATCTTTTTAAAATTAATTTAATAAATAATGTATTTTTATTTAATTATTAAGAATTATTAATACTATATTATTTCTTAATTTATTTTAAAATATTAATATTTTTGTTCAAATTAAATATATTATTTTAGTAAATTATAAATATTTTATTTTATATATATTAGGGAAAATATTTATATATAAAACATATTAATTTAATTAATCAAATAAATTTTTTGTAAAATAAAATAAATATTTATTTACAATAAATATTCAAAAAAAATTTATATTTTTTTTTTTCATAATTAAATATAAATTATTTTATAATTTAATTTTTTGTTCTATTAAATACTTTACATAAACTCCTTATTAATTTTTTTTTCATTAAATATAAATTTTCATATATATTATTTTATTAGATTCATAAGTCTACTCATTTTAAATATAATTAATAAACTTTACTTATGTCTTCATATATATTTTTTTCAAAAAATAAAAATCACAAATTTAAAAAAAAAAAAATCATTATTTTTTTATCACGACTTTATTTGTTGTTACTACTAATTTTTTTTAATAATTTAAATAAAAAATATGATTTTATATATACATATATATTTAAATAATACTTTTTAATTCATAGAATACTAGATTAAAATGTTAAATTATGGGGAAATTTAAGAATATAGTAAGTATAATTTCATATAAATTGAATTTTATTCAAGAAAAATACATATATAATTGTATAAACAGGTGCGTTAAATATATTTCGAAAAAACAAAAAAAACTCAATTAAATTTTAAAATAAATATATAAAAATTATTGATTTTAAATATATTCTAATCAAATTTTTATAAACGATAATTTATTATTTAAATTTTTTTCTTATAAGAAGAACTAAAAAAATTATATTAAATATTTATTTTAAAAAAGATGCGTTAACACTTTAAAAATTTATACAAAAATTTGAAAAAAAAACCTTTTTAATTAATAAATTATAATAAAAAAAGTAAAAATAATAAATATATTCATAGGCATGTGAAATTAAAAACAAATAATTAAATCATATCTTTAAAAAAAAAAATCATTTATTTATACAAAAATTATAAATTTTTTATAAAATATTATTACTTCTTATTTTTATTTAATTTTTCAAATTAATAAATTTCCGATAATCTATAAATTATTTGAATTTTCTAAATAATGCATTTTCGCTTTATTTCCTGAAAAAAAATTTATAGTGCTCTTTTATTAATTTAAAAAACAAATTATTAAAAATATTTTAAAAAATAACCTATAAACTTATATTAAATTCATCTGATTATATTTTATTGAAACAAATAACAACATTAAAAATATTTTCAAGGAAACAAAGTTAACTGGTCAATTATCCTATATTAATAGCCAAACTAAACAATAAGCTTTTAATTATATCTTAATCTTTACAAACTTAATCTTTACTACATTTTCCGAAACTAGAAGCTATAATATCTGGAGGAATATTTAAATTTAAACATGTATCTCCATAAATATCTCTTACTGTCATATCACAATTTCTATTATCCCCGTTAATTATACAATCTTTAAATGCTTTATTAATACATTTATATTTCGTTAATTTCAACATTAATGATTCGACAAAGCTTTCTCCAATAATACTGCCTGAAAGTCTTTAGTATTATGTGTTACTGTAAACCTTTTTTTTTTAAAAAAAAAAATATAAATATTGGAAATTTATTGAAGTATACTTTATAAAAACTTAAACCAGTTCTTACATTTACATAAATAAAAGGAAAATCTTTAATTTCAATATATAATTTTTATATTTAAAAGTCTATATTATTATATATATTTTTATAATTTAATATTAATAAAATATATTTATATAATAAATATTAAATATTTTACTTTCATTTAATTTGTTTAAATTAATAATATTTAAAACATTTTAATATCTATGGAATTATTTATTGTTTTACATATAATAAAATAAAGCATATAATGAACCTTCTGCTTTTTTATGAGTATAAAAAATAAAATTATTGTCTATATATTAATTAAATTTTTAATCTATAATTTCTTTAGAAAGAGCATTTGTATATATTACGATTTTTTCTTCATTTTTTTCTATTAAAATATTTTATAGTCTTATATATTTAGCTTAGTTCTTTATTTTTTCATAATTAATAAAAATATTTAAATAAAAATAAAATTACTTTTAAGAATTCATCTAGAGGTTCTTCAAAAATGAAAACAGTTTCATGTTAAAATTCGATTTTTTAATTTTTAACTAAAAGTTAATCTATTTCTTAAAAAAATTATATCTAATTTTTTACTTTAACAATAATAGTTATTATTTCATTATCACATTAAAACGAAAAAGCATTACCCATAATTAAAGTTTTATTTTGTATTTAAGAATTAATATAAAATATTTATAAAAATAAAAATATATATTTTAACTTTATAATAAAAGTATGTATATATATATATATATATATATTTATTAAAATATATCTATTTTTATATTTTTTTTTCTTTTTATTATTTTTTTAATACTTTTGATTATAATAATACAAATAATATAATTTAATTTTTTTTTTTATTTTGAAATATTTTTTGAAATTTCAAAAAGCAATTTAATATAAAAAATTTTATTTTCAAAAAATATATCACATAATATTAACATTATCAATCATTATAATCCTAATCATCATAAATTTTGATTCTTATACCATCCTGCCAAAAACCTTTTCCTTTTCTTCCATCAGTAGTTATAACTATACCTTCTCCATTTTATTTATTATTTCTCCATTATCCAATATATATTTTTCCATCAGGATAAATCATTTCACCTTATCCAAATTTTTAATCATTTTCAAAATTACCTAAATTTATATAAATAAATATATATATATATATATATATACATTTATATATATATATAATTATTTATTATAATAATCATATAAAATTACCTTTATAAATTTTTTTGTTTGGATAATAAAGTTCTCCATATCCATTCATTTTTGAATATCTCCAATTTCCTACATATTTTTTTCCATTTTGATAATAATAAGTTCCAAATCCTTGAATAATACCATTTTCAAACTAACCTTCATAATAAGATCCATCCTGCTTCCAAGTAAGTTTTCCTTTTATATGTTTTAAACCATTAACAAATTATCCTTCATAAATGAAATTTTTTTATTCTTCTATTCCATAACCATGTTATAAATCTTCAATCCAATCTCCTTAATACTAATGTCCATCTATATGCACAAACTTTCCTATAAAAATAATAAATAAAATTAATATATAATTAAATATTTAAAGTAACAAATTATATTAAATTTAATTTAATATATATATATATTAAAATAATTGAATTTATAAATAGTATATAAATAATGAAAAATAATATATATAACTATAAATTTATATATTTATATATTTATATTTATATATTTATTATATATTTTTACCTTTTCCTTAAGCTTTATCATCAATCCATTATCCTTCATAATAATCACCATCTGCATGTATTAATCTTCCATTTCCATTTGCTTTATCGTTTTCCCATTCACCTTAATATACTGAACCGTCTTACCAAAATTAAATTCCTCTACCATGTCTTTTTCCATTTAACCATTACCCTTTATATACTGCTTTTGTTATTTTAAATATATATGGTGGGAGTTTTACTAAATCTTTAAACTCATTTCGTATTGGGTAATTATATTTTATATCTAATATTTGCTAAACTTATATTCTATCAGTTTAAGGTGCTTTGTTATATGGAACTGCAACTTAAGTACTTGGTGCATGTTCTTAATACTAATGTTTTAATTATTTGACGATATCTCTATCTTTTTATCCCCGAACATATGATTATATTTTTACTATTTTAGATAAAGATTGTTAATCTTAATATCTGTTATCTACATGTTTTACTGTTAATCCTTTATATTCGTTTTTCATTGTTCTAGTATCTGATTAACAACAACCCATATTAATTTATTTTTATTATTTATAATTACTATTTATAATTTTTTAAATGCTTATTTTTTTTTTTAATTATTATTACTTTTGAATAAAATAAGTTTTACTTTATATTAAAAAATTATTAAATTTAATTTTAAAAGTAAATAAAATTAAAAACCTTATAAAAGATATATGTATATTTAAAATATATTTATATGTGGAAACTATTATGTAAAAAATATTATAAAATTTAATTTTAAATTAAAAAAAATAATAAAAAAATAGAAAAATAATACTTATTATCAATATCATTCAAATCTGTTTAACTTAATTATTATTTTTCCAAATCCTTAATTCTAATTTTATCCTTTTAAATTTTTATTTTAATGACCTATATTTATTATTCCAAAACTTATATCTACTAGTAATTTTATTATTATAAAATATAATTTATTTAAAAAATTACTATTAATAAGTATTTTTTTTCTTCAAAAATAACATATTATTATCATTTTTTAAAATTTTATCCAAAAAAAGGCCTTATTCTTTACTTCTTATATTATTGGTTTGTTTTTTTATAACTAATTGTAGTTAATGTCAGTTAAATAACCGATTAAGAATTTATTAATAACTTATTTTATATATATTAATATATTCTTCAAATTATTTAAATTTAAATATTTTTTTATTAAATCATTATATATTTCTTTTAAAAGTAGAAATTAGAATTTCGGTTTTTCATAGATTTTTTCGAAATTATTAAATGTCTTGATTTTTTATTGCGAATTTAAATTAAATTTCCTCATATAATATAAATTTTTACTTTTTTTATATTTATTAATATCATTATTATTAAAATAAAATATATAAATGATTTTAATATAAACTATATTAAATATAAAATTAAGAACATTTTTTAATTAAATATGGTTTACTTTTCAGATGTTTTTAATTTATTTTTTGTTTTATTTGAAATTAATTATTTCAAATATTATTAATAAATTTAAATTAAAAACATATTATTATTACTATAACACTCTGAAACTTTTTTTATAATTATATCATATTTTTAATAATTCCACAATTTTTTTATATATAATTTTTTTTTTATAAAAAAATACTGTTTTATTCTTTAAATAGTTTAAAAATTAAGACATGATTGTATTTACTTTATAATTTAATCTTTTATATAAATAATTTTTAATTTTAGTTTATATATAAATATATTAAATAAACTTCATTAAGTGATAATATATTTAATATAATATAAAAACTTAAAAAAATTATTATTAATTTTTGCTAATAAAAAATATAATATACCTTTTAAATTCTATATTTTTCAACATTTAATAAACAATAACGAATTACCACTTCTTTTAAATATTAATGTTATCTTATTCAATTTTTATATTACTAAGTTTATGTTTTTTTTTTCTTTCTATATATAATTTATTAACGATTATTATTTATTTGTTTCTTTTAAACATTCATTAAAAAAAACAATTTTTACTTAAATTGTTGTGAATGAGTATTTATATATCTGAAAGAACTACTTTTTGGCGTATGAGTTTTTGATATAGAAGAGAATAGTGTTATATTTTTATTCGTATTAAACTTCTAATCCCAACCCCAATATTTTTTTAAATAAATATAGCTTTAAGCTGCACGTAAATTAATCATAATATATTTTTAAATAAAAAATAATCTATTATATCCAAAAACTATAATATTAATTATTTCTATTTTTTATTTTTTTGTAGTAATAAATTTAATTAAATTAATTATATAATTATATTATATATCGAAACTAAAATTAATTTAATTTTTTTTTTAAATGATATACAAATACATTTAAACATATATATAATTTGTATTTTAATATTATATAATATTAATAATATAATATAAATATATTTAAAAATTATATATTTTTGTTTAGTTTTTATTAAATATTTTATATTTTAATAAATTATTAGAATTTAATAACATATATTATAACTAAATTAATATTTGCTGTTATTTTTTAAATATTTTTAATTTTATATATTTATATTTAATTATTCTTCAAATAATAATTTAGAATTCATTATGAACTATTCAATATATATAAAAAGCATAAATATTTTTTTTTAAAAAAAATAATTTTTTTTGAAAATATAATTTAATTTAATTTCGTAATTGATTTTTGAGATATATATATATATATATATATATATATTAAATTTTATATTATATTTAACTTAAATTAAAAGCTTTGTATATATTTCTTCCTTATAATAAACTTCGAAAATCGGTTTCTTATATTTTTTATTACATCTTATATTTAGCCATAATTGTGAACTTAGATAATTTTTAATATAAAAAATTTAAGTCATTATACACTCATATAACATTAAAAATCTTAAAAAGCACATTTTTATATTAATAATATTCATTCTTTTAATAAGTATTTTATTTATTATTAATTGATAAAATAATCTAAATACAATAATAAAATAATTATTTATTTTTAATTACTATAAGTTTATTAAATATTTAAAAAAGTTTTTTAATAAAAAATAAAAAAAAGTATTTTAAATTATTAAAAAAATTAAAACTTTATTTAATAAAAAATTTATTTAAAAAATTATCAAAAATAAAAGTTTATATTTTTTATAATATTTTTATTTTTTTATTATTTTAATTAAATTAAATTCAATTTGATAATTTTTGTAAGTTTACAGTTTTTTCCATTTATTATTATGAACTTTAATTTTATTAAATTTATTCTATATTGTTTTAATTATTAGATTTCTACAATTATTTTACTACTTTTTATTTTAATGAATTACTGTTAATTTAATTTTATTCTGAATTACTATTACTATAACCCTGAAGTAACTATTATTAATTTTAAATGACATTTTTACAATTTGATTTATTTAAATTTTCGTGTTCTAAATACTACCTCAAGTCTACATTTTCGAAATCCGCAGTTAATCGATTATATTATTCCTCGTTTGATTCAATTAATTACTAATTCTATTTTTAAGTTTCTGTTTAAATTTATAAATTAACTTAATTTTATTATTTATCCAAAAAGCTATTATTTATTAAATTTTTTTAAAATTATTATTAATTTTCAATTTCGTTGCTTGTGTTTTAAATATTTAAAAAACTTGAATTAACAATATTATTTGTAAATTGATATAAACAATTACTTTTATTTATATTAACTTCACTAAAATTTCTATTATTTAAAAACTCTATATTTGTTTTTTGTGAGTTTGCTTGATTTTATTTATTAAAATTCACAAAAAGAGGATAAGGTTTGAATTTTAGTAATTTCATTAAACTCGTTTGCGAATTAATTTACTTTATTACTTATAAAAAAAGCTTTATTATTCCTAATAATATTTCCTAAAAATTTTTTTAATCGAATAAATTTTATAAATAATTAACTGTTCCTAAATTGTAAATTAACATTTCTGTCAATTTTTTTGAATTATTTATTTCTTTTATAAATTATTATCCGTAATATGTGATTTAATTTTAATCGAATTCTGATTTAATGCTAATATCACTTGAACTATTTGATGAATTTAAATTATTAGTCAATATTTGACTTTTGTTTTTAGTATGATTTGCTTATTTATTTAGATTTTTTGTTTTTTTGTCCATTTTTTATATTTATTGCATTAATGAGTTTTGCTCGATTATTTATGAATTTCCGAAATCATTTTTTACAGGAATATCAGTTAATGATTAATTTATTTCAAAATAATTACTTTATGGCGTTTTAGAAAATAGGTTATTAGTTGTTTTTCTCTACAAAATATATGTATTTTCATATATTTAAAATTTAATTTATATATATTTGAAAAAAAATACTAAATTTATAGGGGAAATACACTAAGAATTATTCATATTTATAAAAAAAGTATTTTTTTTAAAAAAATAATATATATATATATAAATATAATAAATAAAATAGTTTTTAATATTTATAAATGATATATATATAGTATATAATAATATAGATGTATATTTAATTTATACATTTTTAAAGTATATTAAATTTAATAAAAACATAAAATATATCAATAAAATTATTGATACAACATAATATAAATATTTAATTTAATTCATTTAATAAATGATTAAATTTAATTATTTATTTTTTTAATAATTTTATTTTTATTTCATTTCTTTTTAATAAGTACATTATTTTTACATTTTTTTTTTTTATTCAATATATTTATTATTATACACAATTTTTTTCTTAACTTTTATTTTAAGTTAAAAATTAATTACGTTATTATTATAAATTAATTAAAATGTTTTCTTAACTTTCTTACATTGATAATTATTACAATTCGTTCAATATATTTATATTTTAAGACTAAGGGGTATTGTTTGAAATAGCTGATAATTAAGTTGTCAAAGCAGAATCTTCAGTTTATAAAGTTAAATTTTTTTTTTTTAGTTAATAAATTGATTTTAAGATATTTCTATAAACTTAAATTATTTAATCAATTATTTTTCATTACTATTATTACTAATAAAAGAGTTTTATTAAGAATTTGTTTCATTTGAATTATTATTATTGTTTATTTTTTAATTTCCATTATAATTAATTATGTCTTCAATTTCTTAAAGTTCTTTAAAGTATATTTTTTATATGTTTTAAGAGACATCATTATCTTCTTAATTAAAAGCAGATTAAAATTACTTTTCTATATTACATGAGAACCTTTATAAAGGAGATTAATTTCTTTATTTAAATTATTAATTTTTAGTTGCAACTTAAATATTTTAATATAGAGTTCTTTCATTATTATAAAAAAAAAAATATAAATATAAATGTAATATTTATATACTTTTAGTGGAATGATATTTTTTATTTCATTATCATATTTCTATAGGAATTTAATTTCGATTAAATTTTTTATTGTGGAGATTTTAAAATAGTAACAGGACGAATAGATTAAAAGTTTGTTTTATATTGTTTTTTCATGTATTCTATTTGTTTATTTGGTTATTAAAAAATATTATTATTTTGAAATTAGTTTTTTTCATATTCAATAAACTCTCTTTATTATTTCTATATAATTAATTTTATTTTATTATTATATTAAAAGAAGGATTCATCATTTTAAGGTTTTATTTGTTTAAGTTATAGTTATTTTTAATTAGTTTATTTGATATTTTATAAGCAAGTTAGTTATTATTATTTCTAATAGTAGTTTTTGGTATTTTGCATGATTATTTCTTTTAATTTATTGTTTAAAAATTAATATTTAATTCACAATTTTTTATTTTTTTTTCTTTTTTCTTTAATAAAAAAAAAAAAATTAATTGCTTTTAATTTATATATTCGATAGTAATTTTTTTAAATAAATATAAATTACAAATGTTTAAATTAATTGTTAAATTTTAACTACTGAGAAAATTTTATTAATATTATTTATTTAAAAAAATTATATATTCTCATATTGCTTTTTAATAAAGTTTTTATTAATTATTAAAATTACTATTATTTAATAAAATTTCATATTTTTTATTTATATTATAAATTATTTATTTTTTGTTAAAATTTTTATAAAATAAAATTTAATTATTATGCATATATTTTTTTTTTTGAGATTATATGTATTATTTTTAAATTTAATAATATTTAAAAAAAGAAAAATAACTTAAATTATATATTAAATAATTTATATATAAATTTTTAAATAAAAAATTAATAATTTTAAATAAAATTAATTATTTTTTATTGAATTAAATTATATTTAAAGATTTTATTTTAAATTAAATAGAATATTTTTTTAAAAAATATAAAATAATTTATTTAATTATTGAAAAAAATAAAATTATATTTTAAAAAAAATAAAAATAAATTAGATAAAATTTTATCTTAAATTATTATAAAACAAAATTATGATTTTACTATATAAATTATTAAAATATATATTTTTTATATTAAATAAATAAATATTATATTTTTTTTTTTAAAATAATTTTATATAAAAAATTAAAAATATTAGATTTTATATATAATGAAATAAAATTTAATTAATTTATATTAAAATACAGATTTTCTAAATTTTCTAAAATATTTAATAATATAAAAACATGAAAATATAATTATTAACATCAATATATTCACCCAAAATAGCTCATGATTAATTAAATAAATCTCCTGCCAAAGTTTAATACACATTTTCTAAAACGAACCGTTTTTAAAAAACTCGTTTAAGTTATTGTTAATCAGCATTTTATTAATTGAAATCCACATTGAATTAACGCGCCACAAATTTAGGTTTAGGCCGCAAAAGTGATTTTACGAAAAAAGATAAGGATATTCCTGGTCCTAATTAATACTTAATAAAAAGCTCTTTTGATAAACAATAGTCCATCTAAAAAGGAATCTCATTTAAATTAGGTAGAGAAGAAATTAGTTTTCGAAAAATGAATGAATATACATCAGTTCCAGGACCAGGGCATTACAATTAAGATGATTCTAAATAAAAGAGATTATATCATTATTCATTAGGAAGAAATACTCAAAGCACATGTAATATTTTTTTATTAAAAATAAAAATATGTATATAAATAGAATTAATTCCGAATTATATTGTTAAATTTAAGGATAACCCAGGACCTGGAACTTATTATATATAAGGTATGAATAAAACTGGGAAATATTTTATTTCGAAATACAATACTAGTAGAGCTGCTGTTTTTTCCCCTTCTACTTAAAATAGATTTTAATTTTTATATAAAGGTTATTTTTTTGAGAAAAAAAAAAAAAAATAGAAATAAATTAATTATATATATATAGGTAAATAAAGTCCTGGACCTGGATAATATGAATATGAAGGATTAAGTAAAAAAGGAATTTATTATAATTCAAAGCTTAGAACAACTTCAGGAGGCAAATTTTCATAAAGTTATAGAGATACTATTGGAATTAGAGTTAAATCTGAAGGTATTTTTTTTTTAAAAAAAAAAAATACTATTTTTATATAAAAAAGTTCCAGGACCTGGAAGTTATAGAGTAGTATCTGAATTCGGGGATACTGAATTTCCTCCAAGTTTTAAAAACACAGCATATAAATCATTTCTTTCGTAAGATAAAACTTAATAATTTTCAAGATAAAGTACTCTAAGCAATAAACATTAGTCTTGATAGTAATTGAAATTTATTTATGTTTATTAAAAAATTATTAAAGATTTTTATTTTTTATTTTTATTCGATCTTATATTTATTCCTTATTTATAATTTTAAGCTTTTACTTAATTATATATGAATTTTTAAAAAATTAGAAAAAAATTTATAATAAAAATAAAAATATTTTATTATTTAATATTAAATTTTTAATTTATAATAATTAACAGATTTAATAAAATAAACAAATGAAAAATAATATAAATTATACAGCAAATTGTTTATAAAATTAATTAATAAATAATTAAAATGAAATAAACAAACATTAAATTTGCAATAATATTATTAATTAGTATACTGAATAATAAAGTAATTATAAATTCTCTATAAATTAGTGTTTTATATTTATAATAATAAATATATATATATATATATAAATTATATTGATGTATTATGAAAAAAATAAAATAAGAAATTTAAACAGAAAGTCAAAATAATAGTTAATAATAAGTTCGCTTTAAATAAAATAATTTTTAAACTGAAATAAAAAAATCTTGTGAAAGTATATATAATAAAAAAACTAATAAAGCATTTAATTTAAATATTTTATTTTCTTTAAAAAAAAAAAAAAAAGATATTCAAAAGAATGTAGATTACTTAGATAATATATAAAAAGAATTAGTTTTATAAAAAAAGAATATATAAAATATTATGTGTGATTATAAAACAAAAATGCAAAAATAAATTAATTAATGCGATAATAAATAATAAAAAAATTAAGAAAACTAAAACTAAGTAGTTTTATAAAAATAATTGATAATTCTCAATATTTAAATGGAATAATTAAAATAAGAGAATTAGAATTTAAATTAAAATTATTAAGAAGTTCTATAAAAAGAAGAGAAATATAAAACCAAGATTGAAAATTAAAAAAATTTAATATTAAATTTATAAAATGAACTTTAAAATAAAGTCAATCAAAATAATTAGAATTAAGAAAAAATAATTTTATAAGAAAATTAATAATAAAAATTAGAAAAAGAATATAAAAAAATTTAAGAAGAACTAAATTATTACAAAGATATAAATAATAATTATAAATAAGAGAAAAATGATATAGGCTTAATAACATAAATAATTATGCAAATAAATAAATGAAAATAATAATTTTATTCATATAAAAAAATATTAATTTATATTATTTATAAATTTATAAAAGTTAAAATAAAAATTATTTTGATTTTAATATGTAAAAAAATTAAAAAAAATAAAAATAAATAACAATGGGAAATACTTAATTATTTTTAAAGTTAAAAAAAGATAGATTAGTAAGTAAAATAAAATATCTAACTCGCAAATTAATTTATAAAAACAAAAAGATTAATCAGTTATAATTATAACAGGAGCATCGTCAGGAATAGGTAGGGAATTAGCATTAAGATATGCTTAATAAAATTGCAAGTAAAAAAAAAGAAAAAATAAATAAATAAAATTTTAAATTGTAAATTAGATTGTTGATATGTTCAAGAGATATAAAAAAGTTAATTGAAGTTCAAGAAATGTGTAATTAACTAGGAGGAATAACAAATGTTATTAAATGCGATGTTTCCTAAGAAATCGATTGTAAAAGTTTAATTGAAGAATGCATTAAATTATATGAAAAAATAGATATCTTAGTATTTTTATTTTTTTTTTAAAATAAAAAAAAAAAGTTAAAATTTTAATTCAAATTAAATATGTATAAAATAGATATTAAATGCAGGAATAAATGCACATAGTCCATTTTAAGAAATCGAAGATATACAAATTTTCAGAAAAATAATGGACACAAATTTTTTCGGATATGTATATCCAACCAAGTAATGAAAAAAAAAAAAGAAAATTATATTATATTATATATTTTTATTAAAAAATCTAAAAAAATAGATATGCACTATAACATTTATTAAAGAATAAAGGATAAATAGTTGTACTTTCATCTATTTCAGGTGAAATTGGTTTACCTTATAGATCAGCTTATTGTAGTAGTAAATTTGCAGTTACAGGTTTTTTCGAGTCTTTAAGAATAGAATTAAATTAAAATGATATTTCAATAACAATTATATGCCCTCCTTCTGTATTAAATATTTATTATATATAATTTAAAATTTAATATTTATATTTTATAATTTATATTTTTTATATGATATTAATAATTTTATATTTATTATTAATTATATATTATTTATTATTTATTATTTATTATTTATTATATATTATTTATATATATATATATATATATATATATATATATATATATATATTAATTTACAGGTTAAAACTGATATGAGAAATCATGATTTGTTATAAAAATACTAATAAAATGATGATGAATTAAATAGAATGAGCGTTGAAGAATGTGTTAAAATAGTTATGTTTGCAATTAAAAAAAGAGCTAGAAAAGTATTTTTTATTTTTATTTATATTATAATAAAAATATTTAGATTTTCTTTCCTTTTAAAGCATATTTTGCTGTATATTTAAGACCTTTTTTCCCTGATTATGTAGATAGAAAGCTAAAATAAGCCGCAAAATTATGAAAAAAATATAATGATTTTTTTTAATATATAAATATACATATGTATAAATTTTTTTTATTAATAGTTTATTTTATATAAAAAAATCAATATAAATTATACATTAAAAAAAAATATAAGATATTTTATAAAATATTAAATATATATAAACTATTTTTATTTAATCATTTTTTAATGAATATATATTAAATATAACAAAATTTTTATTTTTAACTTTTTGTTAAAAATAAATATAATTTTTTTTAAAATAATAAAAAAAAAAATTATAATTAATATTATTAAAATAAAAAAACCATAAATATTAAAAACATAAAAATGTAATTTAATACAAAATAAAAAAAAATTTATAATTTTTTAATTTTTCTCAAAGTTCGTCTTTAACTTCTTCCCATTTATGTCTAATTAAAATATAAAAAATAAAATTAAATAAAAAAATATTATTTACGTAACATTTTTCTTTAACCATTCAATGATTCCTTTTTCTTCTCTTTCTCCATCATAATCAATAGGTTCATCTTTTTTTCCAACAGGATAGAATTTAATAGTAGGATATCCTTTAATACTAACACTTGAAATTTCATTTGCACTAGCATCTAATTTAGCAATCACTAAATTTTTATTATGAGCTAATTTTTTTGCTGCAGATTCATATTTAGGAGCTAATTCTTTACAATGTCCACACCAAGGAGCATAGAATTCTACTAAAACATCCTAAGTTGAATCCAAAACAAGTTCTTAAAAAGTTTTTCCGACAATAACTTTTACAGGTTCATCATTAGTGGCTGGTGGATCTTCACTTTTTAAGTATCTATCTGCTTTTCCAGCTAAATATTTTTCTACAAAAGCACTTAAAGTTTCCATAGTAATCTCATTAGACTCAAATTTATATTTCAACATACCCTATTCTGCATGTATAAGCATCACTTAAGGTGCATTAGCAGTATTAACGCCAACATAATCAGCCAATCTTTAATAATGTCCGAAACCATCATTAACTTTAGAAATTGAAAAAATAAGTTTACCCTTAAAAGCTTTAGAGGCCAAAGAAAAAGCTTACTCTGCTTACTAAGAAGCTTCATTTTCATTACAAAACAAGAAAATAGTAGGATTTGCTTATTAGAAAACTTTCTATATAGCCTTATCATTGAAAGGTAAAAGAGTAGGATAGGCATTAATTTCAATAAAATTTTGCAAATCTTCAGTATTTAAAGTAATTCCTTCATAATCATTCCTCAATTCATCAAAATGCTTATATAAGACAACAACGGTATTCTAGGCTTACTATTAAGCTCTAATATCAGCAATAAAAACATGCGCAAAAGCAACATCATCATATGTCATTGCTAAGTTTTTAAATACAGACCAGTTTTCATCTGTTTCACTTTGACCGAAATATACTAATACAACAGGATTTTTCTATAAGTAACTTTTTAAAGCCTCATTATCTTGAATTAATTCAGATACTGATCCAGTTCTTTTATTAAGCCAACCTATGATGCCTTTTTCATTTCTACCACCTGAATAGTCAATAGGATTTTCTAAACTACCGGCGAAGAATTTTAATGTAGGATATCCAGAAACACCGAATTTTTCAGCAGATTCCTTATTTTCTGTAGCGTCTACTTTAGCTAAAAATACGTTAGAGTTATCCTTTTGTAATTATAAGGCAGCTTTAGAATATTCAGGTGCTAATGATTTACAGTGACCACACCATGGGGCATAAAATTCGACTAAAACGAAAGGTTTAGATAAAACAAATTCATTAAAGTTAGAATCAGTTAAAACGTAAACTCCTTCATCTTATTCAGGTTAATTAGAGAATACACATATTAAAAAGAAAGTAAAAATTATTAATTTATTCATTTTTTTAATTTTGTTTTGTATTTTTATTTTATAAAATTTTATATAAAAATAATAGAGTTAACATATATATAAAAAATTATTAAAATCTATTAATATATTTATATATTTATATATTATATATATATATATATATTTTATATATTCTTATATTTATACATTGAATTCTTTTTATTTTTATTTCATCTATTTTTAATTTATTATAATTATCATTTTATTACACGTATTAATATTATATATCTATAAATAATTTATATAAATAATATTTATAATTATATTAATAAAAAAATTTAAAATTATTAATATATTTATACAATTATTTTAAATATATATATATATATTATTTTTTTATAAATGACAGTTTATTAAAAAAAATTAATTATACTATTAATTTTAATATTTTAATATTTATATATTTTTTAATAATTTATCTTTATAATTTTAAATTATACATTTTTTTTTTAATTAAAATATTTTTTTACATTTTATATTTATTAATTATTTAATATATATAATAATTCAAAATTTTTACAATAATATAAAAAATTTTAATATAATTAATTAATTAAAAATAAATTATTAACTTTATATTTGAAATATCATTTAATATAATTTGATAATTAAAAAAAAAAAATTGATTTTTTTTTAGTCATATATATATTTACTTTTTTTTCATTAAAATTCATTATATTCCTATTCATCTATCCATTTTAACCTTTTTCCATCTTCCCAGATTCCATATTTAATAGTTTCATCAAGTAATATATATTTTCCTTTACCATTTTATTTACCATTTTTCCATTACCCTTCATATTTTCTCCCATCTGACCAACTATAAACTCCATATCCCTAAATAATTTTAAAAAAATAAAACATATATACATAATTAAATATACATTTTTTTTATCATTAGCATATTCCCCTTCATATTTTCTTCCATCTTTCCATGTATAAACACCTTTCCCATGCATATTATTATTAAGCCATCCTCCCACATATTATCTTCCATCTTGCCATACATAACATCCTTCGCCACAAATCTTATTATCTAACCATTCTCCTTCATACTTTGATCTATTTTTCTTAATTTAAAAATAATTAAAAAAAAAAATATACCCATCAGCCCAATTATAAGTCCCTTTCCCTTATTTTTTCCCATATGCATAATTTCCTTCATATTTCGATCCATCATTCCATGTTTCAACCCCAAATCCATGCTAAAGATCATCTTTCCATTACCCTTCATATTTTGCCCCATTTACATGTATATAAACCCCAAATCCGTTTGCCTTATCAGCTTCCCATTAGCCTTCAAACATATCCCCGTCTACATGATAAAATTTACCGTTTCCATGCGCCTTATTATTTAACCATTCGCCCTCATATCGAGCACCATCTGTCCATGTTTATTCCCCTTTTCCATTTCTCATGTTTCCTTTCCATTCTCCATTGTATATTGCTCCACTTTTGAATGTATAAGGAGGTCTTTTTTCTATTTTTTCTGGATCGGTATTTTCATCTTTTTTTTTAAAAAAAATAAAAAATTAAGCAAAAATAAAATTATACTTTAAGGCGGTATATCTTTATGATTTTAAAAATATTTGGATTTTTGTGATTAATTTTCTTCTAAATTATCTTAATTATTTGTGTTTGGTTATAATTAGTATTATTATTATTATAGCTGTTGATCAGTATATTATTTTTATTTTTATTAATTTTATAGTTTTTATTATTCTTCTTATTATTCGTTTTTTATTGTTTCCCTTTAGGAAAGTTAAATACTTTACATTATATTATTTTATTATTATTCCTTGGTTGAAAAACTTTTTTGGGTAATTTAATGTATGTTTTCATTGTTTTCCTGGTATTTTTAATTACTATCATAATCCTTTGTATTCAAAATATATATATTGTTATAATTTATTTAAAAAATATATTGAAAATATAAATATGTTAAATAAAACTAATTACATTATAAATTTATTCAGAAGCATTTTTAATTTAATTGGTTTCCTTAATTATTACATTTTATTCAATTATTTATTTATCAACTTCCTTTGTTTTTATTTATTTATTTTTTTACAACAAAAATTTTTTTTTTTTTTGAAATAAAAATAATAAAATAAGTTTTCATTTTTTGTTAAAAAAAAAATACAATTTAAGTTTTTAATTCATTTGCTTTATCTGTTATACATCCACATTAATTTCCCATTTTTATTTATTAATTTAAATTTGTTTTATATATTTGTTAATTGTTTTTCTGTTATTTTTTTTTTTAGTTTTTTGTTTTTTTTTATTTATATTTTTTTTATAAATTTTTCATAAATTTCTACACTAGAACAATTTTAAAATATAGTATATTATAAATTAAATTAAATAAAATTGATTATTTATTTTTTCATTTTTGATTTGTTATTATTTAATTTAATATTATAAAAAATATATTTTATATTTTTCAAACTTTTTTTTTTTAAATATTTTTTTTTTAATAGTTCAATATATATATATTAAATTTAAAGAAAATCAAAAATCTATTTAATTAATAAAAAAAAAAAATATTAATTAGACAGAATAATTATATATATATATATATATATATATATATATATATATATATATAAATTTTAAAATAAAATAAAATAAATAAAAAATCATTCATTTTACCCATTATTTAATAAATCCTAAATAACCTTTTTTCTATATATTTATCTTTTAATTTCCTCTACTCCTTTCTATATAATACTTTTCCTGGAAAAAATATCATTAATTTTATTCAAAGTATCCGAATTTAAATCTAAATAATCTTTCCCTCCGTTATTATTTCCATTTTATTTTTCAAAATTTTTAATATATTCTAACCTATTTTTTCCTTTTATTAAATATTTAACCTTTAGCATTTAAATTTCTTCCTCATTTTCTTAATTATAATCTAAATAAGCATTTTCGCAAGAAACCTAAGTAAAAAATTCAATAAAAGCCTTACTTTTTTCCTCAAACAAAACAACATTTTTTATTGGTCCATATGTCCTAAAAAGGCTTTCAAGAATTTTTTAATTATATGCTACTTTTTGTGTGTTTTTCCATTTTATTTTCAAAGTATTTAATTTGGCTTAAATTTCTTCTTTTTTTTGCATAATTTCTTCCCTTTTTTTCCTTTGTAATTTTTCTTGTTCTTCTTTTTCTTTTTATTGTTCTTTTTCTCTTTCTTGCTTTTTTAAATAGTCTTTCATGGCCTATTTATGCATTTCCATTTACATTTTTTTATGTTCAGCTTCCCTTTTTAGCAAATCTTCATGGAATTGTTTTTATTTATGGTCCATTTATTAATATTTTTTTTATGTATTTTCTATGTTTTGCTCATATTCGTCATATTTTTTACGTTAATCTTCTTCCGTTAACATTTTATAAGCATCTTGAACTTCCATAAATTTTAATTGTGTATCTTAGTCGGAATTTTTATCTGGATGATATTTTAAAATAAGTGATTTGTATGCATGTTTTATTTCTTTTTTTGAATGTTTTTTATTTTTATCAAGTCCTAATATACCAAATGGATTATTATTTAATTTTTTTAATTTTTCTTTAAATTTTTCGTCCATATATTTTTTTTTTTTTTCGTATATTATTTATATAAATACAAAATTAAATTATAAAAAAAAATAAAAAAATATATATATAATAAAGTTCATATTTTTTTAGCAATAGTATGCTAATTCTAAATACTTTCCTTACTAGAATTATTACTACTTAATTCTTAACAAACCCTCTAATTAATTTTCCATCCAACAATACTTCCTTCCCTTCCTGCTGTAAGTACATATTATCCCACACAACAAGCACCTTTAATAATATCTTTATGAGGATTTTTTAAAATTTACTCTACTTATAATTTATTACAAGAAATAATACAAATACTCCCATCATTTCCACATGAAAGTATACTTTTTAGTTATTAAATATACACAATAACATTAATTCCACATTTATGTTCATTAAAAATTTTAATCTCTTAAATTAAATTATCTTACAAATTTTAAATTTTCCATAATTTTACACATCCATCTCCACTACAAGAAGCCAAAAATCCTAATTCAGGTATTAAAATAAGCCCAGAAATCCATGAATTATGCCCTATAATTTCTGCCAAAAGGCATTCATTTTCGACATCCCAGATACTAATACAGCAATCATCTGAGCCGCTAAAAATCTTTTTTTCTTCCAAAATATATGCTAGACATAGAATAGGAAACATATTTATCTTTTTTAAATTTTTAATATTCTTCCCTCCATTTAACCATTCCCAAATTTTAATTGTCCCATCCCAACTACTACTCGCAATTTTATTTTCATCTAAATTGCAAATACATGAAATTGTATCTTTATGTCCTTTTAGAGTCCTGATGATAATTTCGTCTTTTAAATTCCATATTTTAATAGAAGGATTTACCCCTTAATTTCCACTTGCAATTATATTTTAACCTAAGAAACATAAACATGAAATAGGAGTGCTACCAGCGGAGATATTTTGGTTTACCTTTTTTTCAGATTTATTTAAATTCCATACTTTTATATATGAATTTTCATTACAAGTACATATTTTTACACCATCTTCTATATTTTCTAGTTCTTCTTTTTATAAACTTATAATATCATTTATTGTACCTTCTACATCTTATAATTAGAAGTCTTTATTTAAGAAACTTTTTTCATCAAATTACATATAGTTGATTTTTTAATAATAGTTTATTTTTAAAGAGAATGCTTTTATTAATATTAATTTTAAATATTATAAATACTATTAATTGAAGAAATATGCGAGCTTTTTTTTTTTTTTTTGTATTCTAAATTTTATATATAATCATTTATATTATAAACTTATTTCAAATTTTTAAATTAATTTAGTTTATTTTCATCTTCTTTAACAATATCTTCAATACTTTAAATAAACTGATTATATCGTTCTAAATTTAATCTATTTTCATTTATAAGTCGCTCGTTTTCGTTAAATAAACGAGTGCATTTTACATAGTTTTGGAGTTGTTTTAAACTGACTTAATTTTTCGATATTTTTTATAATATATATTCAAGTTTTTGATTATTTTCTTCGTTTTCTTATTATACTAGTTATTTCTTTTCCAAAAACTACTAAAATATATATCCTAATTATTATATATTTTCGTTATTTTATTTATTTGGAAAATCATGTACTGTTATAGGTATAATTTAAGCACTTTTTTATTCAATATCAATAAAAATATTATATGGTGAAAGAAAAAAATTATCAAACTAGCTTTTCAATTATTTACTAATTTATTTAAAATATTTAAAAAGTTCCTTTTGTGATATATTGTTTAATATTTTTAAAGATGTTTCTTATTTATTTTCTAAAATCTCATATACAGAAATTCCATTTTATTAAAAAAATATCATATTTTATTAACTTTCGATATTATTAAATAAAAAATCATAATCGATTATATGATTTGGAATAGTTGATAAATTAAAAGAGATATAATTTTTTTAATATTTTTGGTTAAAATAACGAACTATTACATTTGATTTTATATTGTTTTTAAACAAAAATTGTTCTATATTATCCAATTTTTATTTCATTTATTTTATAAAATAATATCATATTAAAAATAAAAATCTAATAATTATTTTTGATTAAAATATTTTATTAATATAAAAATATTTTAATTTTAAAAAATATAATTTAATTATATATATATATATATATATATATATATATATATTATATGTTATTCATTCTGTTTCTTCTTTTTCAATTATTATTTAATCATGATAATTTATTGTTTCTCCAGAATGTTCAACTAAATGTAAAATTTATTTATCTTCATCAATTATATCATTTCTTAAAATTAAATAAAATAAATTATTATAAAAAAGAAAATCGAAAAAGAAAAAGAATTAGAAAAAGAAAATAGAAAAATAAAAAAATAAAATAAATAATATTTTTTTTAAAATATATAAATAAAATACTAAATAATTTTTTTAATGAATTTTTTTTCTATATCTCTTTCATGTTTTGCTTCAAATAAAATAAAAAAATTTAAATTTTTTTTATTTTGAAAAATAAAATACCAATTTATTAAAATTTATTTCCTTCGAATTCTTCTTCTTTTTATTCTTCTAAAATAGTCTATATATTTTCAGACATTTTTTATTAATTTTTATGATTTTAATCATCTAATTCATCAATCTATTAAATTTGACTATGAAATTATAGAAATTTTGATTTTTATTTATCATTATCTTATTCATTATCATCTTCTTTTATAGTCTCTTCTCTAAAACTATCATCTATTTTTATTTTATATATATATATATATATATATATATATATATATATATATATATATATATATATATATATATAAAAACAATTATATTTATTACTTGCATATTAAGATGTACTTTTTTTTATATAATGTCTTGTATTAGTTACTTAAGATTTCAAATTAAATTCACCTTTATCTTTCTACCAAATATTACTATCTTCTAAAAAAGATTAAACTTTAACATTTAATTCATCTTCAACTTTATCTTCTTAAATCGACTCGTTTAAATTAACCTCGATTTATGGATTGTATTATTTATGTTTTCCCATTTTAAATGAAGAATTCAGAGAATTTCCTCCACTACTTGTGTTAAATTCATCACTATCAACTAACATATGTATTGATTTGAATAGTTTTTTTGTTTGGTTTGCTTTTTATTCTATTCTATCTATTCTTCATATATTAAAGGAGATGGAGTATTTAGATTTAAACTATTACTATGTTAAATTCTTTTTACTTTATTTAGTTTATTCAAACCTGAAATCTCGGTTAATGCAACTTCACTAATTTTATATTTATTTTTTGTTAATTTGGTTTTATATTAAGTAATTTTTTTAATTTACTTTTTAAAAGATTTCATTTTATTTATTTTAATATTATTATTATAAATAAATAAGTGGATTTATAAAATCATTATTTAATATATATATGTATATAATATATATAAATTATCTAAAATTTACTTGAAATAAATATAGAATAATATATTTTACTTATTTTTTATTATTTAATAATCTTATATTAAAAAAAAATATAATAGAAAATAATAAAAAATAACAATATTTTATTATCTTATATTTATTAATTATATTAAATTATTTAAAAGATTAATTTATATATTATATCTAACTTATTATTTTAATATTAATTTTAATTTTTATTTTATAATAAAAATATATACTAATTAAACTTATATAATACTTTATAATTAAAAATTATTTTAATTTAATTTTAAATAATATTAATAAAAGTTGAATATATATATATAAATTTATTTAATTTTAATATATTTACATTATTATTTATTAAATGTTTTATTATTATTTTTTTAAAAAAAAAATACATATTTTTTTTTTTCTATTAAAGTTAGTTATTTTTTTTTATTATTACTAATACAATAAAATCAAAAAGCAAAAAATAAATCAAATAAAATAATAAAAAAATAAAATAAATTTTAAAACAAAAACAACAAAAACAAAATAAATACAAAAATATAAAAAACAATAAGCAAAAAAACAAAATAAATATGGAAATCAAAGAAAATCCCTAAAAAATATCATATATCCAACAAAGAATATAATCTCCTCAATAACAACAAACATTCTAAACAATAAAATAATTCTAATAGCTTCCATAATAATAAAATTAACTAGTACATTATACAACAAACTCAACAATCTAATAAAATCCCATAAATATTCCAAACTAAATTCAGTATCAAACTAACATAATTAACCCTTAGCAAGCACAATATTAAATAGTATAAGAACTCTAATAATAGCCTATAATAATATAAGAACAAACTTAAATATAATAGCAATAATAGCCAACATATACAACCTAATAAGCCCAACAAATAATATAAAATTAAGCTATTGCTTAATAAAATACTGTTCTTATTTAATAACAATAGCCAATAATATAATAATAACAATAGCCTATAATATAATAATAGCCTATTTAATAAATATATTTATAATAAATACCTTAATAAATATAATAAGTGCCTTAATAATAAGCAATATAACAATTTTATGTGTAATAAGTTCCTGTAATATAGCCATAATAATAAGCAAATAATTTATTTCTAGATAAAATCGAAGAAAACTATTAATTATTTCCCGAATCTAAAAAAAAAAAAAACTACAAATTTAATTCATAATAATTTTCTTTCCAAGCCCCACCGCTAGAATATCCTACATACTATCGCAAAGAATAATTTCCTATAATAGAAGAAGAAGGGCGAGATCATATACACACTTAATTTGTAGGTTCTTCCTATAAAATAAACTTACCCTATGAACCTGAAGTATACTAAAGGGTATAATCATAATTTGGTAGTTTTCATCAGCCACACTAAATATATAACCAACATCAAATAAATACTAACTAAAAAAAGTATTATCCACCTTAAAATTATCGTGAAGTTATTCCTCCTTAAGGAATATATTCTGAACCTATTTATTAAGATTAACCTCGTCTAAATGAAAGAGAATATTACAGATTTCCTAGAGAAATATCAAATGGACACCCTTAATATAGATAATTTTTAAATGGGCAAACACATCCTCCTGCTATGGAGAATTATATTATAACACCTACTAATAAAATGTAGTAGCCTTTTTAAAGTTAATTTTTAAATGGAGGAAGTATCAATATGAATCTTCCTGTTGAATAATTACGTACACCTATGTTAAGAAGTCTAGTGTATATTAATGAAGATTATTTGAAAGAAAGAGATATTGAATTTATGTTTGAAAAAAGGCCATTAGAATAAATATTTAAATATTTTTAAATTTTAATTTATTTTGAAAAGGAAAATGAAGAAACTAAGTATTTTTTTATTTATATATATTTATCTAAATTAATATAAAGGAATAAATTAAGTGATTAAGCAGATTATTCATTACCTTTATTTTATAAAATGTTTGATTAAAATGGATCTAATTAAATTATTATAGAAGAACTATAATAAGGATTTAATAAATTTGATGTAACTCCAGATATTAAGGATCTTAAATTATTAATATTGAGATATTCTAAAGATAAAAATTCAAGATTAGAGTAACAAAAATAAATATATTTTAAATATATATAAATATATTTAGCTATTAAGAATTCAATAAAATGATATGTCCTAAAAGGTTAGGAAATGCATAATCAATATTCGTAAATAAATAAGGAATAAATGAAAAGAATTTATCCTTGAGAACAAAAGAATTAATGAGAAAATTATTAAAAGGTTTACTTAACTGTGAATATAATTTAGAAGAATAAAGAAAAGTAATATAATAAAATAATACTGATTTAAGAAAAATATACGAAGAGAACCAAAGCAAATTTTGTGATAAAGAAAAAATAAGAGAGTTTTTTATTAATAATGGAGTATACGTAAATAAAGAAGATATGATTTTTGTTATGGATAAATTCGATACTAATCAATCTGGATAAATTATATAAAATGAATTTATTAGAGAATTATAAAATAGACTTTGATATTTATATATATATATTTTTTAAAAAAAATAAATTATTTATTTAATATTTGTTTTTTTTTTTTAATACTTGTAAAAAAAAAAAATATGAAAGTAAAAAACGGTTTTTTTAAATAAATTATGAAGTGATGAAAAAAAAAAAATCTTAATATAAAAAAAAATACAGTTTAAACTAAATATAAATAGAAATAATTAAATTTAATTAATCTTTAAAAATTAAATTTTATTTAAAATATATATATATAAATATAAAAGAAAGCTTTATTAAAAATTAAAAAAAAAAGTTAAAAATATAAAATAAAAATAATAATTATATATATAAAAAATGACTGATAGAAGATCATGGGATAATTAAGTTATTATATGAAAAATAAAAAAAATATTTTACATAATAATTAATATTAAAACTAAAAATAGGAAGATAAAGTAATAAAAGAACTAGTAGCTCTATATGGAGTTAAAAAATGGACAGTAATAGCTTAGAAAATGGAACAAATATATTCTTTAAAAGGTCGTTCAGGGAAATAATGTAGAGAACGTTGGCATAACCACTTAGACCCAGGAATAAATAAATTACCGTGGACTAATAAAGAAGAGAAAATAATATTCGAAGCTCATAAATAATATGGAAATAAATGGGCAGAGATAGCTAAATATTTACCAGGAAGAACTGATAATTCAATAAAAAATCATTTTTATTCAAAACTAAGACGATCATTAAGAAGAATAAATAAACTTCTAGGAGATAGAAATAGTAAAATTGAAATAAAATTGAAATAATATTATAAATATAAATAAAAAAATATAAAAATATATATATAAAAATATATATATATATATATATATATATATATATATATATATATATATATTAATATTTTCAAAGGCACTGAATAAATAAAAGATATAAAGCCAGGTGTATTATCAAAAGTATTTTTTTTAGCTGAAAAAAATGAGAATGAAATTGAAGATTAAGACATGAAAAAATTAAGTGTAGCTTGTAAAAGTTTATAAGATATGCTTTTAGACTTCGCAAATGATAAAAAGCCTTTTAAATAATTAAGAATTGAAAACAATTAATAAATATAAATTTAAGAAAATGAAAGAGATGAAATTTTTAAGGTTTTAATTGAAAAAATACTTGAATTTAATAAATTATATAAATAATAAAAAACATAAAAATTATTAAGTAAAATTCAACCTTTAACAAAAATCTAAACTCAAAATAACTAAAAGGAAAATTTTTAAATCAAAAATTTAAAAAAAAAAAAAAAATTAAATGATAATATTTAAAAAAACAATAATTAAAAGGAAAATATTTAAAAACAATATTCTTAAAAGAACAATTTTTTAAAGTAAAAATTTTAAAAGGAAAATTTTTAAATAGAAAATTAATTTGAAAATCTTCCTTTATAAAATTCTTAAAAGCAATAAATTCATTAATAAAATTCGCCTTAAAAAAACAATATATTAGTTAAAAAAGAAGATAATAATTCAATCTATATCAAATAATATAATTAATAAATAGACGAAAGCATTAGAGTATTACATGAAAATTATAAAAATGAAAAGTTTAATTTAAATGAACAAAAAGATTAATTATCAAATAAATATTTAAGCCAAAAATAAAATTTAAATGAAGAACAAGAAAATCAATTTATATATTAATAAATAAATAAAGCCCTAAAAATTAAAATTAGGTAAGGAGATAAGAATATATTTAATGTTATTTATAAATAAAATAATTAATGTTATAATTCTTAATAAAATAATCATAATTAACTATATTATCCGGACCCATTTATTTAAAGAAATGTATATAAAAAAATAAAAAATATTTTTTAAATAAATAAATAAAATAGAATTAAAATTTAATTAAAAAAGAATCAATATAAGATATCGATTATAATTATCCAAATTAAAATTTAAATGTTTATTTTCCGTATTAATAATAAAGTAAAAAAATATATAATTAAAAATAATAAATAAAAAAGATTATATGTAATATACTCCTAATTTCCCAACTACAATGTAAAGTCCAACATAGCCATTTTCTTATTTATAAAATAATCAAAATTCAAATTATATGCCATATAATACATATCCCACATATCCAACATATCCCTAATGTATGATAAGAAATAAAAAAGATAAAATAGAGCATATATAATAAGTTATAGAGAATGAAGAAAAGAAAAACAGTTATTTGAACAAAATATCAACAGAATACAAAAATAAAGTTTTAGGAAATAAAATAAAATAGTAATAAAATATTAAAAATCAAATATTTAATAAATATTAAAATTAAAGTCCTAATAAAGATAATTAAATAAAAAATTAATAAAATGAAGAAATGGTACTTGATATAGATATGATAAATGATACATGTTAAGAAAGAAAATAATATATATAGAATAACTTTTATAAAAAAAAAAATTTTCTGTTTCTCCTATATCTCCATAGTAAAATAATAATAAAGAAAATAAAATTAAAATAGATGAAGCTTAAATAAAAAAATGTAATAGTAAATGTAATTCATGTTAAAAACATACTAAATAGTAAAAAAATTAATAATAATAATAAATTTGATTGAAAATTAAATGTAAAAAAAAATATAATATATAATATATAATATATATAATTAATTATTTATATTATTTAAATATAGATACTACATAGATAATATAATGATTTTTTTTTTTATAATATAAATTATAATATGTAATTAATTAATATTATTTATATTTATATTTAAAAATAATTTATATTCAAGATATTTTTTTTTTTATATATATATATATATTAAACTATTTTTAAATATTAATTTTAAATTATATTTAATAATTTTATTTCATAATTCATTGTTTTAATTTATATTATCTTTTTTTAATACTTTTATAACTTTAATTTTCTTTTGTATTTTTATTAAAGGACTATTATTTTTAAAAGAAGTTTCTTTATTTTCCTAATTTTTTATATATTATTCTATATTTTTTTATTCATTTATTTATTAACTATTATATTTTTATTTTTTAATAAACTTTTCATCTTAAGTTTCAAGATTTAATTCATTTTTAAGAGTTTTTTATATATTGACTAATTAATCTTTTTTTAATGTAAAAAACTCTATTTTTTAGTCTATTTATTAAATGTAATTTTATATCTATTTTAAATCTTATTGATATTCTTCTTATTTCATTATTATTTTTTTTTTAAAAAAAAATAATATTATTTTCTGTTTATTTTAAGAATATATAGAATCGATATGTATATATAAATAATCTCACTAAAAATTTGAAAATTTTTAACAAATAAAAAGAACAAAATATATTGAAACGTATAATTATAAATATTTATTTAAAAAAATAATATAAATAATATTATTTTTTAATAGAATATACTTATATAAATTATTTATTTAAAATATTAAATGTTATAATTTTTTATTTTATATTGAAATTAAATAACATTTTAATATTTTATTAAATAAAAATATAACTTAAAATAAAAAATACTATATATAATAAAAAGCTAAATAAATAAAGAATTATAAATAAAAAAATATTATATATAAATATTTTTTTTAATTATCATTAATAGACATAATATATGATGTATATAACTATTTAAATTATAATATATATTTATTAAAAATTAAATAGAGTTTATTAATAATGCTTTGATTCTTTTTCATTATATTATTAAATATATCTTTTTAAATAAAATATTTAAATAATAAATAAATATTTTAATAATATATATTAATTTATTTTATTATTATAAATAAATATAAAATT